TTCATAGACTGTGCCACAGAAGACAACAGGGGATGTGATGGCGGGGATACCTGTGCCGCACTCGTATGGATGGCAGAGAATAATGTTCGCATACAAACCCTTAAAGATTATCCCACAAGTGGTGGAGTGGGAGAGTGTAGGCATACAGAGGTCATCCATGGGGTGAACATTTTAAGCAATTTCACGTGCGATAAGTAATGAATTTCTTGATTATTTAATGTAATATATCATTAAATAATGTTATTTGTGTTAATTTGCTATGAAATGAAGTTTTGTTCACAAAGAGGTGGAAATGGTGCGACTATTGGCCACTCACGGGCCACTTGTGGTCGCAGTGGACGCCAAGAGTTGGCAACACTATTTGGGAGGAATCATACAATATCATTGCGACAATGATCTGAACCACGCGGCACAGATTGTCGGCTATGATCTGACAGGTTTGCTAACTTTGCAAACAATGCAACCGTTGTTTTACTAATATTAATACATGCATTCAACTTGTTTTATAGGCGATATTCCCTATTATATTGTACGCAATACTTGGGACACAAGTTTTGGAATCGATGGTTACCTTCACATAGGAATCGGTCATAACTTGTGCGGAATGGCTGAAGAAGTTTCCGCTTTCGATGTCATTGTTTCCTAACTATAATTTATACTCAATTTATTTGTGTATTTATTCTATTGAATACAAATAAAAACAATTTTATTCATGTATTCTTATAATTAACTTTTAAATATTTGATGATAAAAATGGTATTAATGGTAAAGACTCTGAAATATTTGATGTGTCGATACATGTGCTAAACATTTGGCCAATACTACCACTAATTCACACGTATTTCTAACAAGTATTTGTAAATATAAATTTAATTTTGCAAAAGTGGTATAACTTTGAGAACTCGATTCCTATAATAGGATTCCTATTGAGAAGTGGTTTTAATGCATTGCTTATGTAATACTGTATTGAGTGATGTTTGACTGTTTGACTGCATTGCTGTTTACACTTACATATTGTTATGTTTTCTCATGAATGTCAACAAAGATCTATTGAAAAGTGATTTCATTATTTGAATACATTATTCAACTCGAGTCCAAGTGATGTCCATTGAGTCAGATATCAAATCGTTTAATTCAGACAATGAAGAGGTGGCCGAAGACAAGAGGCCGTCAGTGAACGATGTGTTGGGAATGAGTGCCGGCGTTCACAACACCATTGAACACATGCTGTCCACTGAAGACCCGCTCGACAAACAAGACTTCAATGCCGTCGAGTATATCAACGCATTGTTCCCATCGGAACAGTCGCTCTCTAACATCGATGATGTCTTAAACCGCATGAAACAGAAGATTAGGTTTGCATTTGACATGCATTTCAGTGTATTATATGTTTGTATCACTGAATTGACAGACAATTGGATGAAGAGATCCGAGTTGTGGTTCGCGGACAGAATAATGTGGAGCTCGAGGGGAGGGAGGCGTTAGAGTCGGCCCGTAATGTCATCACACAATTGGCGAACCGTATCCTTGAGATCAAAGAACAGGCAAAACAATCGGAACAAATTGTATGCCATTCCTCCGCATTGACACCATTTTAATAGATTTTCAATTTAAAGGTCAATGAAATCACGTGTGATATCAAACAATTGGATAACGCGAAGAGAAATCTGACCACTTCTATCATTATGTTAAATAATTTACATATTTTAGTCGAGGGAACCGATCGATTGCAGTGAGTTATCTGCTATTCATTCATCCATTTGATTGTTATAATGACTTGTCTTTAAGAGAGGCGACGAAGAAGAGACAATACGGACAGTCGGCGTCAATACTTCAAGGAGTGATGGATGTATTGAAACAGTTTGAAAGGCACCGACATATCCCTCAAATCAATCAATTGGCAGAACAGGTAGAGTCCATACGAACACAATTAGGACAACAAATTCTTGAAGATTTCCGCAATGCGTTTGAGGGCACGAACGCCAAGAACTCATTCTCTCAAAACCAGTTGCAATATTTGGCCGAAGGATGTCTTGCGGTCGCAATACTCGACCCTAAGATCAAACGGGAGTTATTGTCCCGTTTTGTAGACATAGAACTCTCCGAATATAAAGCATTATTTCAAGAGAATCAGGAGATCTCATGGCTCGACAAAATAGACAAACGTTTTAATTGGATTAAAAAACATTTGGTAGAGTTTGAGGAGCGTTTCGGACGTATGTTTCCTCCCAAATGGGAAGTCAGTGAATGCATTGCCGTTGAGTTCTGCAAAATAACGCGCAAAGAATTGGCTAAAGTTATGACAAATCGAGCCCAAGAATTGACTGTAAATCTTCTGTTGTCCGCCATTTCTAAATCGACAGCATTTGAGAAGTTATTGTCTCAAAGATTTACTGGAATTACTTTAAGAGAGAGTCAAAACGAATTGAAATTAAGTTCCGATAAAAGCAGTGAATTGAAAATCAACCCGTTTTGGGGACAAATCACTCAATGCTTTGAAAGTCATTTAAGTATTTACGTGGAGGCGCAGGACAAGAATCTCTCCAAACTTGTCGACCAGTTTGTCGACGAACACCAAAAGCTCTCCAAAACTGAAATCGTTGTCTCAGAAGTGTTCCCAACGAGTGGTAAACTATTCACGCAATACAAGATGTGTTTAGTGACGTGTGTGTCGCTAAGCAATAGACAACCGCTCGTTCTCTTGTCGACAACATTCCAGAAGTATCTGAGAGAATACGCGCATCGAGTTCTTCAGAGCAATCTTCCGCGTGTGGGCGCCTTCTCCTCCTCTATCACCAGTCTCTCCAATACCATCACAAGTGCGGCCAATACTCGTGAAGGAGTGCTGTCAGCCGCCAGTTCTGCGGCCGGACTTCTCCAGAGTTTTCTCAAAGAAGCCGAGGGAGGAGTNTTTACTGGAATTACTTTAAGAGAGAGTCAAAACGAATTGAAATTAAGTTCCGATAAAAGCAGTGAATTGAAAATCAACCCGTTTTGGGGACAAATCACTCAATGCTTTGAAAGTCATTTAAGTATTTACGTGGAGGCGCAGGACAAGAATCTCTCCAAACTTGTCGACCAGTTTGTCGACGAACACCAAAAGCTCTCCAAAACTGAAATCGTTGTCTCAGAAGTGTTCCCAACGAGTGGTAAACTATTCACGCAATACAAGATGTGTTTAGTGACGTGTGTGTCGCTAAGCAATAGACAACCGCTCGTTCTCTTGTCGACAACATTCCAGAAGTATCTGAGAGAATACGCGCATCGAGTTCTTCAGAGCAATCTTCCGCGTGTGGGCGCCTTCTCCTCCTCGATCACCAGTCTCTCCAATACCATCACAAGTGCGGCCAATACTCGTGAAGGAGTGCTGTCAGCCGCCAGTTCTGCGGCCGGACTTCTCCAGAGTTTTCTCAAAGAAGCCGAAGGAGGAGTGAAAGTGTTGTCTAAAAGCGAGTTATGCCAAGTCTGTAGTGTTTTATTGACCGCTAATTACTGTTTGGAGACAACACAACAATTGGAGAAAAAATTACAGGAAAGAGTTGACCAGACATTGACTGATAAAATCAATATGAGTCCCGAACTCGATATCTTTCATGGGTTTGTACTTTTCTATCATTCATTGTTCTGTTTATTAATTGAATATTTATTGTTATTTTAATGCAATTAAAGCATTATTTCAAACTGTATTCAACTTCTAATACATAATATCGAAGCCGGATGTGAGTCGGCCTTCAATTTGATGATTAAAGTAAGAAATAGTGTTTAGTTAGCAAATAGTGGTTTAAATTAAATGTTTATAAATTGTATTGACATTCGATAGACTCAATGGTCAACTGTTGAGACACCGATTGGTCAAAGTTCTTACATAACAAGCATATCGTCAAACCTTCAGCAGGCGTTCCCATACATACGGGACAATCTACAGGAGGCGCGCAAATACTTCACCCAACTCTGCAATAAGTTTGCCTCGACTTTCATTCCCAAATATATCGGACACCTATTTAAGTGCAAATCTCTGAGTCAGGGCGGGGCTGAACAGCTACTACTGGACACGCATACGCTTAAGAAAGTGTTGATAGAGTTACCATGTTGGGAGTCCACTGTGAAGACCGCTCCCGCCAGCTATACTAAGACTGTCATCAAAGGCATGACTAAGGCTGAGATGATTCTGAAGGTAGTGCTCGTCCCTCACGAACGCGTCGACCCATTCATTGAAAGTTATATCAAACTATTGCCCGATTCTGATAACAATGAGTTCCAGAAAATACTTGATATGAAAGGAGTGAAAAGAGCCGAATCCACACAATTGCTCGACGCTTTCAAGAATAGGCCCATTTCTAAAGAGATCAATGATATGACCTCTAATCCCATGTCTAATGAAACCATTTCAGACCAAAATAATGACTACGAATCCAGTCGTATAAAGCGTTTGGAAAAGTTGATCAAAAAGAGGTTATAATAATTAATTTGAGTTTTAATTCCCCTCTATTTGTGCACTAAATCACTAATATATCAGATAATATCATATTATATTTTATTTGTGGTTTAACTATAAATTTCTAATTTATAATAAAAATTGTTATATTTATACACTTTTAAATTAAATAAAATTTTCTAATATATATTTACAACAATACGATCTAATCATTAAAACAATTTCATACTAACGTCACATAACTTCCTATAAAAACTTTGCATAAATTTGCAATGTTTTATAGGAATTGCTATTAATGTCATCTTTCGATGTGAGCGCTAGCCTTGAAGACACCAATTGTCACTCCTATAGCTATATTGACTAACTTTAATGTAATTTTAATATTTATCATTTTGTTTGCATTCCAATGCTTACGGTTAGAAGCGATCATAACTTGTTATTAGGAAATTGTTTTATTAATTCAACAAATAGTTTGCAATGAGTTTGCGGTTGTATTAAGTGGAGTGTAGGGCAGAGTAGATGCCAGGGATGATGAGAGCAGATGCCAGGGATGTGTCAGGCATTGGGAGTGTGTTGTTCTCACAGACTCTCCACTCACTGTTCAGTTCATGTTATAAAGAGTTGTCATAATAACAGTTAGAATGCATTCATTCATTGCATTCACTTCTCGTAATCATTCAATCATTACTTAATCGTTACCTTAAAATCAAATCACATTTACTTAACATTTAATTAACTTTCCGTTAATAACAAGATATTTGAAACAATTAATGAATGTTTAAGTATTGAAATACCGATTGTGTTGTCAATTGTTTTGATGGGAAGGAAGTGCCAAACGATTGACGGATCAGTTTATGTGAGATAATAATTGGTTGAATGGTTTAGTGAAGAGATATTCAGATGTATTGCCACCGAAAGGACGACTCGATTGGATGTGATGTTAATAAATGTGAGTGATTTGACATCTCTTTGTAGCGGCGATTGTGACCATTGGTTAGACATCGACAGAGAAGGCTATCTATTCGTCAAATACAGAAACGACAGTCTCTTTAATCACTGGAAGAGTGAGTCGTTTATCGAGAGGTTTGTTAGACTTAAAGGCAATCTTCTGGTGATAATCGCCACTAAGACTATCAACGACTCGATTGACACGAATTGCGCGACGAATACAGCGAACGACAGATGTCTTCATATAATTGTTTTGCAAGAATTTGCCATCAAATTGATAGACGAGTCCAACAAATACTATGAGTTCGTCATTGAATTGAATCGAAACGAATTGATCCGAAGTTTTCATTTCGCGACCATTTCTCACAACGAAAGAGACGAATGGATCCAAACCATCCATTTGTCAAGTTTTGCGTATTTAAGATCACTTCAGACATCACTCACCAAACAATTGAGTGAATCAAAGAACCCATTCATTGACGACTCGTTTGACACGAATTATGACTTAATTAATTTCAAACGATTTGAGTCATCACTTGTATTGTCCATCAGTTGTGATCACATTATTCTCGTTAATAATTACAAATTACGACCAAAACTAATAGTTTTCGTCTACTATAAGACGATCACTAAATTTTGGCAATTCTTGGGTAAAACAGAGATTTCTTCGTCACGTAATCCACGGTTTAATAAATGTTTAGTATTTCCGCAAACAATACATAATTTGGCGACAATTGAACTTAAATTCAAGTTTTATCACATAATCGAAACCATAACTAATACTAAAAGCCTTTTATGTGAATCTTATTTAAAATGTGAAACATTTGCTAATAAAATCAAATCTATTCACAGAATTGATTTGAAGTCTTTAGTCAATAAGCAATCGATTGGCGTTTTGGCCATAAGTCTAAGTCATGTAAACGTTAATTATAAACAGAGTTTATCTAAAGTTGAATCATTTGATAGTTTAGATTCACTTTTTTACGACAAATATAATGATATAAATAACAGTAATATATTCCTCACAAACAAACCTATTCTTCGAACTAATTCTTTGCCAAATCTTTCAAAGTATAATTCATTTGAAAAGATGTCAAACTTTGAGCATATTTTGAATACAAATATATTCACAAATACTATCTGTAAATCATTTCAATTCTTAATCCCGAAACAAAAGATGATTGCATTCATCGATGAATTTATGTCCGAATCTGAGCTTTCGTTTGTTTTCCCGCAAACTTTAATGTAAGCACAAAACGATTGATTAATTTCTAAACTTTTAACTAAACTAATTGTGAAATATTTGAAGGAATATCTATATGAATGACGAGAAGAAGTTAATGAATTGCATTACATATTCCATCGGAGAAGTGAAGACCGAATTCCAACGCAACCAAATGCGAGCCCTTGAATGTCACCTTAGATTAGTTAATGTATTGACCGAATCGTTGAATGAGATCAGTCTCTATCAGACACAACACAGCTTTAGGCCCTCCACTGCAAAGAGTGATTTATTTCTTCAGTTCATTCCAATCAACTTTCATTTGCAGAGATGTCTGGTCTCGGAATCAAATTCAAATCGACGCAAATTTCGTGATATATTTACTGTCGGCGCCTATTGTTGTCATTATTTAGGCTTTAAAAGCGGAGGAATGAAAGAACTATTTGACACTAAAAACAATGCAAATAATATTGCATTATATAAGACATGGAATGCAATGAAAAATTTTTTCAAAATAAGTTCACTTAGAGATAGAATTTATTCCGAATTGAGAGCAATGGTTAATAGCATTGACGGCCAAACCGTTGATATTCACT